AGGCCAGAGGAAAAAGATTTTGCACTAGCTGAGATATCAAGTGACAAGAGCCTGAATAAGAGTCTCAACCATGCAGCATCTTGAACATGGTTCAAAATTGGAACTCTTTGATTACTTTTGCTATACGAGGCAAAGAATTGCATTTATTATTATATGGCTTGAGCAGTGGCTAGGACAATGAGGCCCAGCTTCATTTGGCATTTTGGGGTTAGTCTAATCAAAATGTTAAGTAATAGTAATTCACAGCTATGACCGCATTGCTACCAATCTCTGCCAAGATAAAATTTCTTGTAAAATTTTACAAGTGTGTGCTGAGTTCAAGGTGATGTTGGTGAAACTGTTAGAGGTTATAAGCCCTATGAGATTCACTTATAGTTTAAACTTCATAACAATAAGTCAGGCTCAGGATGTAATATCAGGATTGCCGCACAAGCAGAAAGCAAATACATCAAATTGTTAATCTGAATTCAGAATTTTTACATGCAGTTCCCTCTCCAGATATCACCTGCCAAATAATATAAAAAATTATAAACACCTCATTCAAACCTGTCGAAATTGCTGGAAAAATTCCTATTTAACTTCAGCAGTCTGTGGAATAGAGCATGAGTTTCTAATGCTTATATAGAGGGGCAGTTCTTTCTTTAAGTGTGCTCTGAATGGCAGGGATGTGCACAGGGCATTTGGACAAGGAAAGGGTAGAAGTGAAAAAATCCTCCTGGATGAAATCTTGGCTGTGCTGAAGTTGTTGGGAGTTTTGCCAAGGTTTATCACTGCTTTGAGATTTTTAATAAGCCTTTGTCATGTTTTATGCTTATGACACAGTATTACCTAGGATATCTTGTTATTTTCCCTTTGCCTTTTTATTCTGCTATTTACTTTAAGCCATTTTGAGAACAAAATGTCGTGTAAATGCCTTACGGGCTCTTTCTTTTCTACTGACCTTTTTATGACTTAAAAGAAGTCTCCCAAACCCCAAGTCTGCTTTCTGTCTTGAGTATTGACCTCAGAATTACATCACCTCCCCACTATTGTGTGCAAACTTCTCAGTTCTCAGACTTCACCCACAGGAGTTTTCCTAACTCAAAAACAGTCTCTTTTTTTTTTTTTCCCCTTCCTCATTTTTAATCTCTCAAATTCAGTGGCTCTATGAATTTCAGTAAATCTTTTACCTGCTTCAAGGTAAAAATTCTCCTTTGAAATGGAATATCCTTTATACTAGGACAGTCATAATATTTTGTATTTGAGACAGACTTTGCTGTGGGTTTTTTATGCTACCTATTCATCTGTATGAATTTGAGCTGAAGTGTCTGCCACATCTGACATTAAAAAAAACCCTTTTTCTGAAGTGGTTGAAGTTACATCTTTCATTGTGATGGTCATGGGGCATTTGACCCATTACCCTGCTCCATCCTTACTGGAGAAAATGTATAAGGTTCCCTAAACCTTATTGTATCGACTATACTGTGACTGTTGTATGTGAAAATATGAATGACATATGCTGTTTTTTCTAAAGGTTTACCATAAATGGTGACAACCTAATTATCCTAAACTAAAAACTAAATGTTCTATGTTAATGCCATTCACCATGGCCTCTCTTTTTTTTGTGAACAAATCTTTAAATGAAAAAAATAAATAAAGGGCACTCAGTTTGCATAAGCCTATCAGTGTTGTTGCCTTCACATTTACGGTGTATGGTCAAGCCCAGAAAGGACCAAGGATACATTAGGCTTTATGTAGACAAGTGGTAGACCTGTATGTTTCTCCATTTCACCTCTGTGAGCCTGACTATCCCTGCCAGTTCAGTCTAAAACTCTCTTGGGCAAAAATTGCCATTCATGGTGAGGTGGAACAAAGTGAATTAGTGTGTAGATTAAGCAAATTAATTCCTAATGCTTATCTTACCAAACAGAAAGATTTTATTTTATAGAGTAGACAAGACCTATAACTCTGTTTATGTATGCGGTTACAAAACACTGATGTGACTATTGGTAGCATAAAAGGAGCCTGGGGCTAAGATTTTCAGAAGAACCCAAAGGAGTTCAATTATTTTCCATTCTGTATAAGTTCATATTCCTTGTTCACCACCATAGTATCGAAGTATTTTCCAGCCGTGCATTAAGCAACATGCCTAATACCTGTCACATGTTGTTTGTTCTCCTATCCTTTCCCCACAGGGAAAAGTGTGTATAGTGGAGTGTCTGGTGCCTAAGGGGCTTATGTTTCTCAAATCCCACTGAATTTCATGCAGAAGTTGTTCGTATACATGCCTTCTGTTTTTAGCATTTTAGCTTTTGTCGTTCATGAAATGCAGTGAGATATGGGCATCACCACTTAAGCACCTTTAGAAAAATCTCAGCCATATTGTCCCTAAATATTGTGGGAAATGGTCACTGTTAAGGGATTTTGGAACTCCAAAGCAGTCTTACTTAACACTGTTATTATTGCAGTCTTGAAATGGGAATAAAAATATTTGTATGTATTAAGCACTAACATTAAATTAATAATAGATACCCAGCTCCTTGAATAGTTTAAAACGTTTGTCTTATCTTTCAGTTCATTTTAACTTGTTTGATTGCCTGGTAGAGGTAATCTGAGGGCCTGGTTCAATGCCATGTCAAATAATTTGTATTAATCCCTTTGCCTTGAGTACATTTCCTTTAGAAGCCAAATTAATTTAGCTCTAATGAATGAGTATCGGAGTAGTGTAAACTGAAGTCTTCTGTCTACACAACAATACAGTGTGAATTGTGGTAATAGAAACTTTCCCACTATGCTACCAGGGTGCTCTAAGAAAACCATTTCCAGGGATGAAAGAGCCAATTAATGTTTGGTATTTGTGGTCTGACTTAATTGTATTATACTTTAATCTGAAGAGTTCCACTGGCTTTATTAGGTTTGAGATCAGGCCTTAAATCCTTGGTCTTCACAGAGATGATTAAAACAAGCGTCAGTTATGGTGTTAGTATAAGCTGGTAGGGGAAACTCTCCAGCCATGGAAGGTGTACTAAATAGCCAAACACCTATTCAGTCTAAGGTAAGGCCCTTTGTTTTAGGCAGATTTTACTCCCAAACAAAAGTTTGAAATCAAGGGGAAATAAAATCAAATGATTGGAGGTTAACAAAACATGGTCAAAATATTTTCTGTGGAAAAAAATGGATATTTTATTAAAAAGTGAAGAATCACAAACTTCAGGGGAAACCACAGAATTTCTGCAAAAATCACCATTCTATTGAAACATAAGTGAAACATAACATCTGCAAAAAAAAAAAAAAAAA